TGTGTGTGTGTGTGTGTGTGTGTGTGTGTGTGAGAGAGAGAGAGAGAGAGAGAGATAGATAGATAGATAGAGAGAGAGAGAACTGCAACATGCAGCGTGTCAATGATCGGGAGCACAAAGGCGGGCGCTAACCTCGAAAAACCAAAGAAAGGTAATGTTCTATTCGAATACATATTGCTTTTTTCAAACTTCGAATAAAAAACATGTGCTTCGTATTGGGATACACGTTCTGTTCGCAGCCCGTCAGGGGTGCGTTTTATGCCCCTGAGACATTTTCCGTCGTCGTCACCAAACAGTGCGGTAGTTGGAAGGGTGGTGTATTTGTTGGGGGTCCAATTCGTGGGAAATAGGCAGTTTTTGATGTTGGAGGGCCGGTAGCTACCCGCAGGAGGTCGGGGAGGACGGATCCTGAAAAGTTTTCACTGTTGGAGGACCGGTAGCTGCCCGCAGGAGGTCGGGGAGGCCGGGTCCTGAAAATTGGCATTCCGCTGAGTTAGGGCGGGTTTTTAGGGGGGGGGCCGACTGGAAGGCACAGGTGGGTTCAATCTTGCAATTTTTGAGCGCCAACTTTGACGATTTTTCGTACGCAGAATAATTGGAGAAAAGATCTGAAAATTTGATATCGGGTAGGCCAGGTTGTGATCTTTCCAGTAAAAATATCAACAAAATAAAACAAAATCGTTTAGACCATGAAATAAATGTCGCGCCAATTCGTCACTTTTTCCATTTTTAGCACACGACAATTTGTGGGCCAACGGGAAAAGTACCCTTATTTCAAAGATTTTTCGCGCTCAGAAGAACTCGTAAACAAGTCTGAAAATTTGAGAGTCCGTAGACTTGGTCATGATCTTTTCATGAAAAATGTTTAAAAAAATTAAAAAAAGTGTCTCAACCGCGAAATAGCTTATAGCGCAAATTCATCCCATTTTCCATATTCACCACTCTGCCGGTTCTCCACTCTGTGCTACTGGTAGCCCTCATGGACCTGTGCTACCGGTCCCCCGAATTTCCAACGTCGGGTAGAGTGGTGGTTTGAATTCGAAGCCTGTTGTGGTCGAAATCGAAACAGGCCAAAAGCAGCGGCCGCTCCCGTTCCCTCCGCGTTCACAAAGTGATAGTCTCCCTGTGTGCGCGGGGAGCGTGGTGCCTTATCGATCGAGGCGTTTTGACAAAGTGGCGCCGTGCCTGATTTCTCTCTCTCTCTCTCTCTCTCTCTCTCTCTCATGCACACACACACACACACACACACACACACACACACACGTCCCCAACAACATCAACAAACAAACTACGGGCTGCACACCCGTGCCGTCACAGTAAGTCAATCGAGGTGCCTTTCTATTCTAGAAAAGTGGACTGGCTTGGCCCTGGGCGGACTGCGGCCATTACCGGTCCTGCGCCTGGCCCGCCCCCCTGACGCCCCTGCCTTCAATTTAGTACCCTTCCAAAGACCATTGGGCAGGTACGGGCTACCGGTATAACGAACCTAGAAGAAAATGACACAGGTATATAAACGCAACAACACCACAACCCTACTACCCTACGGGCTGGGAACAAAGACGAAAGTGACTCAGTGTATGAACGCGACTGTACGGGCTGCGAACTGAGGTCCACCGTGATTGTCGAAGGGTTGGGATTTTCCGGTCTGGCCGGCGCTGCCCGGGAAGGACAGGTGGGCGGAGCGGAGGACGAGCTGCGTAGCCTCTCTTTCGCTGTCCGTACCTGCGGTGTTCTGCCTGAAGATGTGGATAGCTCCATTCAAACTCGGGCCCGAAAGGGTGTAGGTGAGATCGCGCGGTGTGGCGACGTGCAGCCTCTCGCTCCTCCCCTCTCCCCCTCTCCCAGCGGTGTTCTGCGTGAAGAGGTGGACAGTTCCATTCAGCCCAAAAACGAACAGGTGGGTTCACCCGGCGTGGCGAAGTGCACCCTCCCTCCTTCCCTCCCTCCCTCCCTCCCTCCCTCTCTCTCTCTCTCTCTCTCTCTCTCTCTCCCTCCCTGCTCCCCGCTCCCCTTGTGCATCCCTTCTTCCGTCCTCCCTCCTTCCATCCTTCCATTCGTTTAGGGGTCCAACTTCATTTCTCGTGGGGGTGCTATGTCGCGAGGGGGACAGGATTTGTGCGCGGCCGCTATTGGAAGGAGTAGGCGGGGGTCATTTTGCGAATGCGGAGATGCAGGGGGAGAACTAACACTAGGGGGAAGTCAAGTGCCTGGTCAGGCAGGGAGGAGAAGGTCGCTATCGACATATTGAGTGGCTAGAGTAGCAGGAGAAGGACGAAGGGGGAGGGGGAGGGGGAGGATGCGGGGTAGGGAGGATGAGAGGGCCGGAACAGGGTGCAGCATGCAAGGTAAGACGTCGAGGGATAGTCCTAAAGTAAATGGGGGGAGGATGTAGGTCGGGGACCGAAATTGCGAAGAAGGGGACGGGGAACGGGGATTGGGAGGGCCCCGATCAGGATGTGGAATTGAGAGGAGGAGAAGGTCGGAATCCCAACCAATCATGGTGAGGATGTAGGAACCGATGAAGTTTCAGGGGAAAGAACGCCAAGGCAACAGAATGCAGGTGGTGTAAGGGGGATCCGGACAAGGTGGGAGCAAGAGATCGGAAGGCAGGAAGAGGGACTAAGAGCGGAGGGAGGGGAACAGGTTGTGAGGAAAGGAGAGAGCAGGGCCTGAGTCACTAGAGGGATAGGGCAATGGATATGCAGCTGATGGAGAGAGAGGGCAATGAAGAGAGAAAGAACCACAGAAGAGGAAGAGAGGAAAGGACAGACGAGATCCGAAGGGGATCCCAACGGAGGAGAGAAGAAGACGTGGAGGGCGACGGGAAGAGAGAGTCGACAGACATAGCACGAGGAGAGAGCAGGGTGGGTAGAAGCGGATTGAAGGGGGGAAGATTGGGAGGGGGGATGGAGGGCGCAAGTTGAAAGATGGAATCGGACAGGCGGAAGGGAGGCAATGGATAAGGAAGGGAATAAAATGAGCGTAGGGAAGAATGTGTGTGTGTGTGTGTGTGTGTGTGTGTGTGTGTGTGTGTG